ACAGAGTGAGGAGGTCATGTATTGAAAAGTACTTCTTAGCCCTAAAGAAATAACCTAGCTTTTTCTCAGCAGCTGCCGCCATTAACGAGATGTGTTCATGCCAGATCAAGTCCTGGAGATGTGGACGCCGACCAGCCGAAATAAACCACTATTTCGTAGAACTCGCTCATCCATCGAAACCTGATGAGCGCTAGGACGATTCTTGTTAGTCGAGGTACAGTACTGTGTTTTGGAAGTATAAAACAGTACAAAATTCTTGCGTCCTCAAGCAGTGTTAACCTCCACGTCTCTCGTCAGAAAGGAACTGGATGCTAGTCTTCGTTTCTATAGCTCGGTAGAGATCGGCTTATCACTCTGGATCGCTGCATGCCATCAGCAAAGCTGTGGATCCGATTGATCGTACATTAAAGGAGGTCGTTGATATGTGAGTGGAACAATTTTTGAGCAAAGACCGATCCTTGGGGAACACCGAGTTGAGATTATAGGAAGAAGATGTGAAACCGTCTATTACGACGGATATATTGTGTCCAATACAACTTGACGCGTGCCTGAAACCGAGTAGACTCTTAAAACATAGCCTCAAAGGTGGTCCCATAGGAGTGACGCCATATTGCATCCAGAAATATGTGCTTTGGCATCACATGTTAACACCAAAGGGCACTCGATGTGCTATAACAGTATCAAGATCCTTGACAAAGAAGAACATCTCTCTAAATTTTTGTTCTTAGAAATGTCACACATTTTCATGACTGACAGTTGTATGAACAAAAAGGTCGATGTCAAGCAACTTAGTGTCAACTACTCATATTTGCTAGATTGCGAAAAAATTGAAACGATTACACATGCCTCCCGATATTGATTTTAGCACAATAACAAGTATAACAATTTAAGAGGTAAAACCAACATGTTATTAAAAAAATATTTTGTTTCTCCCCCTTCTCAGCAGGACAGGTCTTTGACAACATCAACCAATTTTGCAAAGTGGTGACTCTCAATTTTCATCAAAAACAATATGGTTAGGAGAAATGTTTGAAAATATATCGTAGAATATCTCTATAACGTTTTGCACTTAAACCATCGCACGTCTTAATAAGGTATTGCACACGTTCTGTTTTAGAGTGGTAACAGACTCAACAAAGAGAACTGATCCCCACCACAACTACCTGCAAATAGTACCAACATCAAACATAAGTCCTAACCTCTCGACGAGTATACACGGAAAAAATATTTTAATTTTATGACTTGTATATCGGACAAAGTGAGGACCGACCGAGCTCCTAGCCTAACGTATACTGAAAAACCTACAAGAAACAAAGTGAGGACCTTTTAGGATATATTCTCACTCAGCGCATATAGATTCAGGACCGCACATTGTTGTATATCTCAGCAGGTGTTTCTCAAAGTTCACTTGATTTGATATGTAGCTGTGATACCGGCAATAGAGCGAGAAACACACACACACACACAGAGATAGTTGTTGACCGTTTCAGTAACTTTAATAATTACCAGATAAAATACATTTCTTGAGCGTTTGAGAATTGCGATCCATGTAGGAGAGTGAAACTTCCCAACGTGCAATATTAAAACAACGTCAAGTAGGTTGACTCGTTCTGGAATCACGATATTGGGCGAGATAGTATACATTTCGTCAGCGTATGCGAAATGTGGCAAGAGTGTGAAACACCCTTACCAACTTAACTTAACTCTGGAAATAGGAGCATAAACCGTAGTGCTGTCATTCTCATAAGTTGAAGAAGTAACGGGCGCCGGGTTGGACAGGCCAGTGTTGTCTTTGTCAATATTGTTATTCGCAATTGACGAAATATTAGGAGGAGAGCTGAACAGGATTCTGTTAACCAAATACTTCAGATAACCATTATTGATGAATAAGACTGAAAGCTTCCTTAAATTGGAAAGATGGAAAGTATTGTCAGAGATTTTTGTTACCATGTTCTTCACTGGTTTCACCAGTTTTATCTTTATTTTAAGTTGGTGGTAAGCCCTGAAGCTCAGGAACCTTCTAGAGGAAACTGGTTTGCTGTACCAGTCTACCAGTAATATATTTTCGTTGATGCGGATCAATCTTGAGTCCAAAAAGGGCACTGATTAATTATCATCTTCTTTATCGATGGTGAACTGAATGTAGGGATCATATCATCATCAATATCTTGCACCCCTTCATAAGGAAGACAAACGATAATATCGCCCACATATTTTTTTATAAAGATTGAATTATATGGCAATACCTGAATAACAATATCAAGCAGGTCATATTCTGCCAAAATTGGAGATAACACTGAGCCCATGGGGAAACCATGTGTTTGTTAGAACACTTTGTTATTTAGAGTGAAATAATTGTTCTGGAAAAGGTTCTCTAAGATATTAATGAAAAATCCACAGTTAGATTGCTGTGTTGGAATATTTGATCTCAATGTTTGTCGATGGATCTAATGCAAGCTTCCAAATAGACATGATTGAAAAATGAGACTACATCTAGGCTAGCAATAACATGCTCAGGAGGTGTTTGACACCTATTAAATTGTTGACGAACCTCAAAAGAGTCTCTTATATAGTATTCTCCTTTGTTGTGAGCTGTCTTTGAAGTATCTGCAATTAATGAGGATGAAGCTAGTGTGGCTGATTCAACAGATGTCCCTATAGGTCTTACTGACAGAACCGGTTTATGCATTTTGGGAAGAGCATAAAATTAGGAGAGACAGAATTATATGCGATTAGGCACTTTTTTGGTCCTGGTTGATTTGACCAGTGCTGAGTAGCCTGTTAACAATGTAATTTCACCCTATCTCTACTTTAGATGTAGGGTCTTTATTGATAACTTTATAAGAGGGATTATTCTCAATCAAGTTATTACATTACAGTTACATTGCCTTTATCTGATTTTGTAACAATTAATTCCTGATGATCTTTTATAAATTTCCTTGTTTTATTTAACAGGTTATGATAGAAAGAGTGTTTTTTGTTAAAGCTATTCTTATGATAGGAGTTTGTGATAATGTTGGTGGAACGAGTTATGACAATGTTCCTTTCTGTGTCATCACTAATGGAAAAAGATATCGAATCTACATCAGCCAGAATATTGATTGCAATGTCACTGTTAACAAACGGTTCAATGCTGAATTTTGGAACCAAAGAAAGAAGTCTAGAGATGTCATCTGGAGTATTGAGTAAAGTTCTCATTGTGTCATTAAGTAACCTGTCAAACTTACGGATATTAGAATTTTTGATAGAATGGAACAACGTATTATGTCTTAATTGCATCGATTGAAAATTATTGAAAATTGAGAGGCAAGTGAGAGAAATGATTTCAGTTTTCAAAGATTTAAGGGATGAGTGAAGTTTTTTTAATTGTTTATGACAAGAAGAAATTTCAAGAGTATTTTCTCACGCAACCTTTGTAAAATAAAATAAGGAAATTTATAAAAGGTAATACTGAATTAATTGTTACTAAATCAGATAAAGGCAATGTTACTGTAATTATGTTAAGGCAACAATATTTTGACATATGTAATAACTTGATTGAGAATGATCACTCTTATAAAGTTATCAATAAAGACGGTACATCTAAAGTAGAGAAAGGATGCAATGATACTGTTAACAGGCTACTCAGCACTGGTCAAATCAACCAGGACCAAAAAAAGTCCTTAATCACTTATAATTCTGTCTCTCCTAAATTTTATGCTTTTCCCAAAATACATAAACCGGTTCTGTCAGTAAGACCCATAGTGGCATCTGTTGAATCAGCCACACTAGCCTTATCCTCATTAATTGCAGATACTTTGAATTCAGCTCATATCAAAGGAAAATACTATATAAATTATTGCTAGTCCAGATCTAGTCTCACTTTTCAGTAATGTTGATTTGGAAGCTTGGATTAGATCCATCGACAAACATTGGGATCAAATATGCCAATACAGTAATCTAACTCTGGATTCCTTCATTAATATCTTAGAGTACCTTTTCCAGAACAATTATTTCACTTTTAATAACAAAGTGTTCTCACAAACACATGGTTGCCCCATGGGCTCAGTGTTATCTCCAATTTTGGCAGAATATGTGATGGAATCTGCTTGATATTGTTATTTAGGTATTGCCATATGATCTAATTTTTATAAAAAAATATGTGGAAGATATTATCGTCTGTCTTCCTTATGGAGAGGTGGATGATATTGTTGTTTTTAACAGCTATTATCCCTACATTCAGTTCACCATCGAAAAAGAAGATCATAATCAATCAGTTTACTTTTTGGACTCAAGATTGATTCGCACCAACGAAAATATATTACTCGTAGACTGGTGCAGGAAACCAATTGCCTCAGGAATGTTCCTCAACTTCAGGTCTTGCCACGAACTTAATATAAAGATAAACCTGGTGAAACAAATGAAGAACACAGTAATAAAAATCTCTGACAATACTTTCTATCTTGCCAATTTAAGGAAGCCTTTCAGTCTTATTCATCAATAATGGTTATCCGAAGTATTTGGTTAAGAGAATCCTGTCCAGCTCTCCTCCTAATATTTCGCCAATTGCGAATAATAATATTGACAATGACAACATTGTCCTATCCAACCCGACGCCCGTTAATTCTTCAACTAATGAGAATGACAGCACTACGGTTTATGCTTGTATTTTCAGCGTTAATTATGTTGTCTTACCATACATCAAAGAATTAACTCCAAAAATTGATCAGGCTGTGTAATTCCTTAAATTGTCGTTTTGCTTGTAAATCAGTTCTCACAGTCAACAGTGTGTTTTCCAAAATGAAGGGTAGGGTTCACCTGTTGTCTTGTTCCAACCACGGTCCGGATAGGTCGTATATGGTCGTGTCTCCTTAGAGCGTGGTGCGGATCAATTACAGATTTCTTATCTATTGGTTTGGGTTTTACACACATACTTTCCTTGCTGAATTACTGTAAGTAGACTTTATTCCTTTTTTTCCTGGGTCGCATGCAGATTTTTTGCCCCAGCTCTGTGTAAACAGATGTCTGGTGGCTACAACATTCCAGGCGGCGGGGATCCGCCGCCTCTGACGCAAGATAGTCCGCAGCAAATTCCTAGCAATGTGTATTGCGAAGATGTTATATTCGTTGATAGTGATCATGACAACATACATACCCCTATACAACCTATAAAGAATGATACTGCATGCACTAGCAAATCTACAGAAAAATCCGATTATGTTCTCTCTGCTGATACGGCTATATCGCGAAAAAGTCGCCCAAAAAATACGGACAACAGATTTAGAAACAGTGACACAGGCCCGTACTTTGTATTTGTAGAACACCTTGACTTAAATTTGGGTCGACTCCACCCAATGAAGCTGGGAGAAAAATTAGCAGCATTAGCTGAATATGAAAAACACATTTTAGAAATTAGCACGGTAGGTCGTAATCGCATAAAAATTGAACTTGATTCGGGTGATACTGCCAATAAACTCATAGAAGATTCCTTATTTGAAGCTAATAATCTTGTAGCGTACATTCCCAACCACCTTACAGAGAAGCGTGGTTTAATACGAGGTGTTGACACGGCTATTAATGAAAATTCTCTAGTTAATATCATAAAATCTAACATCCTTGTGAAAAAAGCGTACAGAATGACTAGAACCGTTAATAATGGAGAATCTTCTCTCCGGGTTCCTACACAAACTGTAGTTGTCACTTTTGCAGGTAAGCTGCTGCCACAATTTGTTTTCATAAACAAAGTCAGATGCCCGGTTGAAACGTATATTAGCCCAGTTATGCAATGCTTCCAATGCTTGCGATACGGGCATTCAGCATCTCAATGTAAGAGTAGTAGAAGGTGTAGAAAGTGCGGTTCTGCAGATACAGATAATAATCACGCTTGCAACGTATACTGCGTTTACTGCAAAAACAACAGTCATGATTCAACATTTCGTGACTGTCCTGAGTACAAAAAACAGCTAAGAACTAAGGAGGCTATGGCAAATCTGAATATTTCATTTAAAGAGGCTGAGAAAGTCATTGATAATCCGTGCTATACTAGTATTATTCAAAAAAATAGATTTGCCCCTCTAATAAATTCAGATATAGAATTTCCCCCTCTAACCTCTTCATCTCAATCCACTTCTTCTCCCACTCAACAACCAAGTCACAAAGCAGCTTCAAGCCCTCAACCATCCCCTTTTGCGAATCCTCCCAAAAAAAGAAAAACCAGGGATACTTCTCCTAATTTCGCTCCCATCCGTAGAGAATATAATTCTTCATTTTGTGCTGGGCCTGTTTTCCAATCTGAAGCACAGGAATCCTGCACTGAGTCCGACCAGCTGATTAACCAGCTAACCGCCGCAATAAAAAAACTCTTGCAGCAATGTTTACAAGATTACATCAGTGAAAAAACACCCTTTAATGACACAGCACAAGCAAACTGTGAAAGTGAACTGGACACTAAAATTAAAAACATCCTAGCAAAAGTTTTCGCTTAGCTCATGGCTCCCAGAAGGTTGAAGGTCATTCAGTGGAATGCCAGATCTTTGCGTGCTAATAAAAACTCACTCGAACAACTACAGGTGGAAGAAGACTTCGATATCGCCCTGGTATCGGAGACTTGGTACAAAAAGTCGTTTAATACGAATTTTAAAAAATTTCATATTATTAGAAAAGATAGAGATGTTGGTTACGGGGGGGTTGCAATTTTTGTCTCGACATCTATTCAATTTGAACCAATAAATTTCACGAATAATTTCAACTCAAAAATTGAGATATGTGGTATAAACGTGTTCAATGACGGTAGAAAGTTGTCCGTTGTTAGTATGTACAGACCACCAAATGTTAAGGCCTTAGCTTCAGATTACATAAATATCTTTAAACAAATAAAGTACGAATGTATCATAGGAGGGGATCTCAATGCCCATCATGGTATGTGGGGTTCTCCAGTAAGCTCTACTGAAGGTAATACTGTGCTAGAAGCACTAGACTCGTTCCAAAACTTTGTGGTGGTCAACGATGGTTCAGCTACAAGAATTACCCCACCAGGGCAAATTAAATCTGTCGTGGACATAACTATCCTATCTTCAGGTCTATGTTCTTCTTTCGCCTGGTCTACCCTTCCTGATACGTACGGCTCCGATCACTTTCCTATCAAGATTACTTTCAATGATATACGTATAGAAAACACTCCCATAACTCCGACCTCCAAATGGTCCATGAAAAATGTTGACTGGGTCTTATACCGTACAGAAATTATAAAGTATTTTTCTGGTTTGCCCACATTTGTGGACACTAATGACATGATCGTCTTTTTACAAAGCTCAATCACAAACGCAGCCAACCAAGCATGCACAATTCTGAAACCTTTCTCTAACAAATCTAGATCTCCTCCCTGGTGGGATGACGAGTGCTCTTCATTAGTTAATGTTAGGAAAAACGCTTTTAAAACCTACAAGTCGAACCTCACTTTTGCCAACTACTTGGAATATAAAAGAACTGATGCCGTCTGTAAGCGGTCATTCCGAACAAAAGTAAAATCTAGTTGGGCTGAATTCTGCAGCAACCTAAATAGACAGTCCTCCCCGTCAAGTATCTGGAAACGGGTCAACAAAATTCAAAACTCTAAACAGTTTCATAGACAGGATGCATCTAGTGTAGAAGCACTTCTAAACAAGATAGCTCCACCGTATGCCTCCTGTCCTTTTTTCTCTCCGCAGAGTAATAGTGAACAGCACTTCCTTTTGTCACAAATCACGTCAGAAGAGCTGAAAGCAAACATTAAGGTCTCCAAGCTGACATCTCCAGGAATTGATGGTATCAACTACCTTATGATAGAAAATTTACCGCAGGTCGCTGTAGACTTTCTATGCAATATCTATAACCGTATTCTTATCCTAGGAGAAAACTGCGATGCCCTAAAAGCCGCTTTCATCATTCCGATTCCCAAAGCAAGCGACCCCAATTCCTGTAGACTAATCTCTCTAATGTCTTGCCTTTTGAAAACGTTTGAAAGGATCTTGAAGACAAGGCTTGAATGGTGGTTGGAAAGCAACAACACTCCCCCAACATCACAGTTTGGCTTCCGTAGAGGACAAGGGGCTGTCGATTGCGTAGCGCATCTAGTGAGCGATATACAGATAACCTTTTCTGAAAATAACTACCTAGCATCTCTCTTTGTAGATATCTCCAGTGCCTATGACAATGTCATACCCGAGATACTTTTTGATAAATTGCTTAGACTGAACTTACCTCAGAGCTACGCATGTGTCCTAATCAATCTATTCATTAACAGGAAGGTCTATATCCGATGTAACAATCAAGTCGTTGGCCCGAGAACAGTACATAAGGGCCTCCCACAAGGTTCCGTTATAAGCCCGCTTCTCTTCAACATATATACTCAGGACCTACATACTGCGGGGTTGGAATGCAGTGTCTTGCAATACGCCGATGACTTCTGCTTCTATGTTAAGAATAAAGTGTATCAACAATGCATTGATATGCTCAACGTTATAATGCATAGTTGCAACGATTATTTCTTCAACCAGGGTCTTGACATATCCCCCTCAAAATCTGCCGTCGTATTTTTTTCCCGTCACCGTTTACCTGTATGTACCATCTTGCCATTGGCCAACGTTGCGATCCCGGTTCACAGTAGTTACACCTATTTGGGTATCACGCTGGACACCAAACTGACTTGGGATTACCAAATAAACAATTGTCTTGTCAAATGCGAAAAAAGCCTGAACATCCTCAAAGCGGTTAACAGGTACAAATGGGGAGCTGATCCCAAAATAAATATCTTATTCTATAGATGCTATACAAGATCGATATTAGACTATGGATGTTTCTTATATGGTTCGGCTACGAAGACTCGCCTTGTCAAGCTCGATAGGCTACAGTATAAAGGTCTAAGGTTAGCCTTGGGGGCTCTGAAATCTACTCCAACAGCTACTCTGTTAGCAGAGTGTCAGGAACCTCCATTACACTTGAGAAGGTTATTCTTAGCAGAAAAGTTCATTATAAAATGCAGCTTCAATGACCAAACTGCACTCACAAGAAAAGTAGCTCAACTAACCACCCTCAACTTGACGCTTCCATGGTGGCAAAATAAAAACTCTCCTACACTTGCTGAAGCATACCCCAACATCTCTCTGTACAACATAGAAGGAGATAATATACCATTTTTCAAGTCTCAATACAATATTTCATTCTCAAATTTAGAGACATACATCACCGTTGCTGAAAATCCTCCCATCATGAAGCAATTACTCCACGATCTACTACAAAAATTTGTGACTCCTTGTAGAATCTACACAGACGGATCCAAATCTGAGCAAGGCGTAGGGTGTGCTGTATTTATAGAAGACGAGAAAGTGTCTCTAAAGTATAAACTGGATCCCATCTGCTCTATATTCACCGCTGAGCTAGCAGCCATAGATCTGGCTCTTGAGTGGGTAGTCTGCAATCGTCCGTCATACCAAAAATTCATTATTATGTCAGACTCACAATCAGCTATACGCGCATTACAAAATGCGCCTTTTCACATATACCACAACAAAACCATCGTCTCAATACTGGAGAAGGAGTCTCAATTAAGACAACTAAGGAAATCGGTGGCATTTATATGGATAAAAGGTCATGCAAGAATTGAGGGGAATGAAATGGCAGATCGACTGGCTAAGGTAGCCGCCTCGTCCGGAGAAGAAAAACAATACGTAACTAAAACTGACATAGCCTCGTCGAGGAAGCTTAATATGAAAAAGAGCTGGCAAATGGAATGGACTAATTTTTGTACCAACAATAATAACCAATACTGCAAAATTTATCCAAACCTCCCTGACTCCCCAATAGAGTTCAGAAGCCACGTCAATAGGAGAGTACACTCAATGTACTTCAGATGTTTGGTCGGACATGCTACAGTAAAAGCTTACCTGCACCGCTTTGGTCTCGAAGAATCGGATACATGTAGCTGTGATGGGAATAGGGATGATATCAATCATTGGTTGTTCCAATGCAAATTCAACTCAACCGCTTCAGTTTATATGATGAGTGAGCTGGCTACACTTGGTGTTCCATTTCCTCAAAGTCAAACCTCCCTTCTGTATTCAAGCACTCACAATTCATCAATTCGAAAAACTCTATGGGACTTCTTCAAGAGAGCCAGACGGAAAATATAATTAACGAGTTACACGAGTTTAGAATTCAGTGAGATTGTCGTGTGACTTGAGTTATTTTTACCTGTGTTTTTGCCTATCTGTTATTAAACCTACCAACCGTTGCCTGTGTTGTCTGTCTTTAAAGTCGTCATGACCGGCACCTTGACGTGAAACGTGTATCCCCGTTCCTCCCTAATCTTGGTTCTTCTATTATAATTTCCTGGTTTTGAGTAGGGCCCTGTTACCTGTATGTATGTGGATCTATACAATATTGCTAGCAGCGGATCTATATGTTTTATTATAAATTTGAGCATGTTTATATCACTCTCGTGGCCGAATAGGCTAGAACTCCTAAGGCCAGTAATAAAAAAAAAAAAAAAAAAAAAAACCTTAGGGAATGGGTGTCCTCGATGAAATGTATCTCGAAAAATTATTCATATATATTAAGACAATTTATGGGCCAGATCAAATTTACTGGGCGAACTTCTAAAGGGGTAGCAGTCAAAAAGTAGATATAAAAGAAACGATTTCAACCCTTAGGGAATTGGTGTCCTCGATGAAATGTATCTCGAAAAATTAACCATATATTAGGAATTATTTATGGGCCAGATCAAATTTACAGAGCGAACTCCTAAAGGGGTAGCAGCCAAGAACCAGGTAATACAAAAATCGATTTCAACCCTTAGGGAATGGGTGTCCTCGATGAAATGTATCCCGAAAAATTAATTACATATTAAGACAATTTATGGGCCAGATCAAACTTACTGAGTGCACTTCTAAAGGGGTAGCAGATAAAAACCAGATAACAAAAAAATCGATTTCAACCCTTAGGGAATGGGTGTCCTCGATGAAAAGTATCTCGAAAAATCATTCATATATTAAGACAATTTATGGGCCAGATCAAATTTACTGAGCGAACTTCTAAAGGGGTAGCAGCCCAAAACCAGATAATAAAAAAATCGTTTCAACCCTTAGGGAATGGGTATCCTCGATGAAAAGTATCTCAAAATGTTATTCATATATTAAGACAGTTTACGGGATAGATCAAATTTACTGACCGAACTTCTGAAGGGGTAGCAGCCAAAAACCAGGTAATAGAAAAATTTATTTCAACCCTTAGGGAATTGGTGTCCTCGATGAAATGCATCACGAAAAATTACCCACATATTAAGACAATTTATGGGCCAGATCAAATTTACTGAGCGAGCTTCTAAAGGGGTAGCAGCCCAAATCCAGATGATAAAAAAATCGATTTCAACCCTTAGGGAATGGGTGTCCCCAATGAAATGTATCTCGAAAAATCACACACATATTAAGATAATATATGGGCTAGATCAAATTTACTGAGCGAACTTCTAACGGGGTGGCAGCCAAAAACCAGATAACAAAAAAATCGACTTCAACCCTTAGGGAATGGGTGTCGTCAATGAAATATATCCCAAAAAATTTACACACATATTAAGACAGTTTATAGGCCATATCGAATATACTGAGCGAACCTCTAAAGGAGTGGCAGCCCAAAACCAGATGATAAAAAAATCGATTTCAACCATTAGGGAATGGGTGTCCTCAATGAAATATATCCCGAATTACACACATATTAAGACAATATATGGGCCAGATCAAATTAACTCAGCGAACTTCTAAGGGGGTGGCAGCCAAAGACCAGATAATAAAAAACTCGATTTCAACCCTTAGGGAATGGGTGTCCTCGATGAAAAGTGTCTCGAAAAATTATTCATTTATTAAGACAATTTACGGGCTAGATCAAATTTACTGAGCGAACTTCTAAAGGGATAGCAGCCAAAAACCAGATAATAAAAAAATTGATTTCAACCCTTAGGGAATGGGTGTCCTCGATGAAATGTATCTCGAAAAATTATTCACATATATTAAGACAATTTATGAGCCAGATGAAATTTACGGCGCACACTTTGAAAAGCAGCCAAAAGCCAGGTAATAAAAAATCGGTTTCAACCTTAGGGAATGGGTGTCCTCGATGAAATGTATCTCGAAAAATTATTCATATATATTAAGACAATTTATGGGCCAGATCAAATTTACTGGGCGAACTTCTAAAGGGGTAGCAGTCAAAAAGTAGATATAAAAGAAACGATTTCAACCCTTAGGGAATTGGTGTCCTCGATGAAATGTATCTCGAAAAATTAACCATATATTAGGAATTATTAATGGGCCAGATCAAATTTACAGAGCGAACTCCTAAAGGGGTAGCAGCCAAGAACCAGGTAATACAAAAATCGATTTCAACCCTTAGGGAATGGGTGTCCTCGATGAAATGTATCCCGAAAAATTAATTACATATTAAGACAATTTATGGGCCAGATCAAACTTACTGAGTGCACTTCTAAAGGGGTAGCAGATAAAACCCAGATAACAAAAAAATCGATTTCAACCCTTAGGGAATGGGTGTCCTCGATGAAATGTCTCTCGAGAAATTATTCATATATATTAAGACAATTTATGGGCCAGGTCAAATTTGCTCCGCGAACTTCTAAAAGCAGCCAAAAACCAAGCAATAAAAAATCGATTTCAACCGTAGGGAATGGGTATCCTCGATGAAAAGTGTCCCGAAAAAATACTCACATATTAACACAATTTATGGGCCAGATCAAATTTACTGAGCGAACATCTAATGGGGTAGCAACCCCAAACCAGATAATAAAAAAATCGATTCCAATCCTTATGGAACGGGTGTCCTCGACGAAACGTATCTCGTAAAGTTATTCATATATTAAGACGATTTATAGGACAAATCAAATTTACTGGGCGAACTTCTAAAGGGGTAGCAGCCAAAAACCAGATAATACAAAAATCGATTTCAACCCTTAGGCAATGGGTGTCCTCGATGAAATGTATCTCGAAAAATTAATCATATATTAGGACAATTTATGGGCCAGATCAAATTTACTGAGCGAACTTTTAAAAGGGTAGCAGCCAAAAACTAGATAATAAAAAAAACGATGCCAGCCCTTAGGCAATGGGTGTCCTCAATGAAATGTATCTCATATTACTCACATATTAAGACAATTTAGGTGCCCGATCAAATTTACTGAGCGAACTTTTAAAAGGGTATCAGCCAAAAACCAGATAATAAGGAAATCGATTCCAACCCTTAGGGAATGGGTGTCCTCGATTAAATATACCTCGAAAAATTATTCATATATTAGGACAATTTATGGGCCAGATCAAATTTACTGAGCGAACGTTTATAAGGGTGGCAGCCAAAAACCAAATATAAAAAAATCGATTTCAACCTTAGGGCATGGGTGTCCTCGATGAAAAGTATCCCGAAAAATGACGCACATATTAAGAAAATTTATGGGCTAGATCAAATTTACCTCGAGAACTTTTAAAAGGGTAGCAGCCAAAAACCAGATAATATAAAAATCGATTTCAACCCTTAGGGAATCGGTGTCCTCGATGAAATGTATCTCGAAAAATTATTCATATATTAGACAATTTATGGGCCAGATCAAATTTACTGATCGAACCTTTAAAAGGATACCAGCCAAAATCCAGATAATAAGAAAATCGATTTCAACCCTTAGGGAATGGGTGCGCTCGATGAAAAGTGTCTCGAAAAATCATTCATCTATTAAGACAATTTACGGGCCAGATCAAATTTACGGAGCGTACTTCTAAAGGGGTAGCAGCCAAAAACCAGATAATAAAAAAATCGATTCCAACCCTTAGGGAATGGGTGTCCTCAATGAAATATATCCCGCAAAATTACACACATATGAAGACAATTTATGGGCCAGACCAAATTTACTGAGCGAACTTTTAAAAGGGTAGCAGCCAAAAACCAGATAATAAAAAGATCGAATTCAACACTTAGGGAATGGGTGTCCCTGATGAAAAGTATCTCGAAAAGTTAATCATATATTAGGACAATTCATGGGCCCGATCAAATTTCCTGAGCCAACCTTTAAAAGGGTAGCAGCCAAAAACCAGCTAATAAAAGAATCGATTTTAACCCTTAGCGAATGGGTGTCTTCGATGAAAAGTATCTCTAAAAATTATTCATATACTAAGGCAATTTATGGGCCAGATCAAATTTACAGAGCAAACTTCTAAAGGGGTAGCAGCCAAAAACCAGATAATAAAAAAATCGATTTCAACCCTTAGGGAATGGGTGTCCTCGATGAAATGTATCCCGAAGCTTTACTCACATATTAAGACAATTTATGAGCCACATTAAATTTACTGAGCGAACTTCAAAAGGGGTAGCAGCCAAAAACCAGATAATGAAAAAATCGATTCCAATCCTTATGGAACGGGTGTCCTCGACGAAACGTATCTCGAAAAGTTATTCATATATTAAGACGATTTATAGGCCAAATCAAATTTACTGGGCGGACTTCTAAAGGGGTAGCAGCCAAAAACCAGATAATACAAAAATCGATTTCAACCCTTAGGCAATGGGTGTCCTCGATGAAATGTATCTCGAAAAATTAATCGTATATTAGGACAATTTATGGGCCAGATCAAATTTACTGAGCGAACTTTTAAAAGGGTAGCAGCCAAAAACTAGATAATAAAAAGATCGATTGCTATACTTAGGGAATGGGTGTCCCCGATGAAAAGTATCTCGAAAAATTAACCATATATTTGGACAATTCATAGGCCCAATCAAATTTCCTGAGCGAACTCTTAAAAAGGTAGCAGCCGAAAACCAGATAACAAAAAGATCGATTTCAACCCTTAGGGAATGGGTGCCCTAAATGAAAAGTATCTCGAAAAATTAATCATATATTAGGAATTATTTATGGGCCAGATCAAATCTACTGAGCGAACGTTTAAAAGGGTAGCAACCAAAAACCAAATAACAAAAAAATCTATTTCAACCCTTAGGGAATGGGTGTCCTCGATGAAATGTAACCCGAAGCTTTACTCACATATTAAAACAATTTATGAGCCACATTAAATTTACTGAGAGAACTTCTAAGGGGTAGAGCCAAAAACCAGATAATAGAAAAATCGACTTCAGCCCTTAGGGA